TGTTGGCACTTGTCCAGAAGAGAAGGCAAAAGAAAACAATAGTTCCCTGCCCAAGAGATGACATCACACTATGAAACTTCAGGACTTGTTTTTGCGGTATTGTTATTAATCATGGTTCTATGCAGGGGTCATCCTGTAACTCCAGCTACTGGAGTCATGTGAATGCTATGCTTATGGTTCAGCCTTAGTAAGTTTAGGACTGGAAAGTGATTTCTCTGTCAAGGCAATCAAATTTTTCTGTACGGTGAAGTTTGGTGTGAGAATTTTCGCAGTTTCCTTTGCTTCTCAAATCTCAATCGCAAACCCACCAGAAGAACGTTGATCTCTTTCTTTTCAGTCTAACACAATTTTTGTCCCTTCCATTGTAAGTTCCGAATTTTCTCTTTTATTAGCAAAACAGTTCCTAAGGAAGTTAGCAAAACACTTTTTTATAATACTTTACAGTGGTTTCTTAGATGCCCACATGAAGCTGTTTCTCCGTTGTGGCACTGTTTGGGACTACAGTCAGAATACTGAAGATGTGGTCCTGGGAACCTTTCCACTTGGTTAGAAATCCATAGTATTGCCTTCTAGATGAGGTGATAGGCACAGAGCTGAGCTGTCATCAGTGCTGGGAGAACTACAGGAGTTTAATAAACGAAATGGATTTCTGACAAAGCATGTGTGCATTTTACTTGGAAAGCTATAACAGGATAATCAGCTGAAGTCAATTCACTCACATATGCAGAAGTATTAAAAATATAGAGCTGAATGGACACAGCTGCCTCTATGTCCACAAGCTGATGTTCAGTGATGGTCATGGGAAAGAATCCATACATTGTGATGGTTTGTGAGAGTACCTTGGAATAAGAGGAATTGTTATCTTGCTTTGCTCCCAAAACAAAATACAATGAAGAACGAGATCTGTGACAGAACTCCTCAAGTGTTCCTAAGGCCAGCTGCACATCAACTCACTTCTTCTCAATGTCTGGAAAGATGGCAGTGCTTTCTTTAGACCTGTTTCTGTGGACTCGATCCACAAACCACATCTCATTGATATGTCACATAAAATCAGATTAACTTCTCCTTTGTTCCAACTAATGCCATGGCTTTGGGAAAATGAAGCTCAAAATGTCCCATGTCAATCTACAGTGTTATGCATGTAGTTATAAACATTTTTAAGCAATGCCAGCCCCCTTTGGTTGGGACCCTTGAGACCTCATACAGGTTTTGTCTGCTCATTTTATTTGAGTAGTTTAGAGGTTTTCTAATCTTTTGTCTTTTGAAGTTGAAAATAAGTGGTTTGTGCATTTCAGTTGATTTAAACGTGAGATAGACTTTTGCTGCCATTACTTTCTATTAGTATTTGACTCCTGACTAATCCAGATGTGTGGAGGGAAGTAAATACTGTTTGTAGCGTCAGGGTAATCAGTAAAGTCCTTTGCTAGGCTCTTCGTTAGGCTTGTTTGGTCTCTCAGGCCTGCAGTGAGTGTGCACATGGATGGCAAAGGCTGGTCTCTGCAGATTTGGCTGCGACTGGAGTGCCCAGGATGACCATGGCCAAAGATCAAAGGTTGACAGAATCATAGAATGGCTTGGGTTGCAAGGGACCTTAATGGTCATCTACTTCCTCGGCTGAAGCAATGCAGCAGCACAAGGGCTGGGTGATGGAGAGAGCAGTTGGCATAAATTTAAGAAATTGAGCAGTTATGTTCACTAAGCAACTAAAGTTGAGGATTCTGAAGATCTCCTCCTTCCTGGGAATATCTTGAGTAAAGGTCACCAGTAAGACAGAGCTTTCCTCCTGTATCAGCCTTGTCTCTGACCTTCCCATGGAAGAAATAGCCAGGTCCAGGCCCCTCTTCCATGTGATGACAGTAGTGCAAACGTGCTGCTAAAAGATCAGCCCAGTGGTTCCTGGTGCTGTGTGGGATTGGTGGTATCTGCTCTCTTAGGCAATAAAGCAGGACAGTAAGGTTTAAAGTTTGCCATAAGGGCTGGTGTCTCCAAACACGCATAAAATCTGTATTGGTTTGCTGCTTTGCACAGGAGGATGACACCACATGGGTAGAAAAGCTGCTTCTTATCAGGATGAAAACCCTCTTCTGTTGTCCATGTTCAATTGGTTGCAAACTGGGGCCAGAGACAACCGTGCAAAACTGGCCTTCAGAGCACACAGCTGTCAGGACCGTAAATTGCATGAATAAAATGCACTTTCCCAGCACCAAGCTCATAACTTCCCATCACTTCCCAGAACAAATACTGTCTGCTGTATTTATTAGGTGGGGCTGTGCATAGGCAGTCGCTTTCAGTGTGTTTATTTGGAAGCCCTCAGTTGTGCGGTAATCTCAGGCACCTCTGGGAGATTTAGCTCAGATAGAGGTTTGGGCTGGAGGTCACGGGGTCACTGATATTAAGATAGGGAGCAGGAAAGGAAACAGCATTGTTTTTGTGGCATTATCTGAACAGTAAGGAAAAATAAATGCAGCTTTTAAGATGGCTTTAACCTGACTTTGGAGGAAATGGCCTACAAATCCAGCAAGCAGGCGGCTGCTGCAAGACCTTGCCTCTCCTTATGCGTGTTTTGAGCCACTCAACCCAAAAGCATGATGTCTGAGGCTTGCTTAAGCAACATTTCTCTAGAAATCTTCTCAAGTGGCTGAAGTTTTGCTTGAGCTTATGCAAATACTTGGGTTTCTAATTTTAGCTCCTGTCCCAGAATACAATCTCTGGAATTGCTTTTTTGGGTAGTAGCTTGGAGGCAGAAATTGGCTTCCCTATGGGGTCAGCTGGGTGCCAGGGCTCAGCTGGCAGCATTTCTAGGTCCTCTTACAGCACAGGGGCAGAGAGCAGGAACACGACCATCCTGAGACAGGCACCAACAGTAATAAATCTGGTGCTCATGCACTGGGATCCTGCTGCAAGCTCCGATAAACTCCTCTGCCATGTGATGTCTTTGGTTTTTTAAAACAAGCGAGTACACACTGTGGCCCTTTCTGCAGCCAAGTCTTATTTTCAAGGGGCATGCAGGCAGTTTTCTTGAAGACCCCAAACCCTCTGCGAATATGACTGAAATCAGCTAATAGGTTCCAAATTTATTAGGAGGAAGCATAGAGCATGAATGTGGAAGACTGGTTTCCTCAGGAAGCTGAAGTAACCAAAAAAAAAAAAAAAAAAAGCATTCAGAATGAAGTAAGGATTTGTTTGTTGCCTCCTTAATATTTTACTGTAAAACACTCTGTCTTATCTGTCTTATCCTCAAGGTTTTTCTGCCTGTTTGTATATATATGTGTGTGTGTATGTGCATTTCTGTGTATAAAATTCCAGCAACATCCACTGTTTAAAAAAACAAAACTGAGAAGGATTTTACTAAAAGCATTTTGGGAAAAGCTCTGCTCTCGGTTTTCCTGTCAAAGTTTTTCTAAGCTTTTATTTTTATTAGTCAAAATGTTTAGAATCCCCAGGAAATCCTGGGATGAACCGTTTCCTCTTTGAGCTGTAGCCCTTAGGGGAAAAAAAAGAGAACGCTCAGATCCTTCAAAGGTTAGAAATTTTTAAACTGTATTTTTTGCAGATTTTTTAAATTACAGGAAAACTAAGTTAGGAAGATGCTTAGCTTTATGCTACGGTCCTGGGAAAGATAGATCTCTTTGTAGAAAAGCCTGATGAGACCCTTAGATCTGAGCGAGGAAATCTCTTAGGCTTGGATTTTAAGAGGCAACCAGTTGTGGGGTGGAGGCGCAGCAGGTTCATTTGAAAGACCATCCTTATATTTTTAAAAAGTAAATTAAAAAGGAAAATTTTCTTTCCCTCAACCAGAACCTGTGTGTTAGTGAATATCTAACAACTTTGTATTTCTTATTCCTTTAAATTTATTTTTCTCCCAAATCTTATTTGCTATACACCTGAGGTTTTACAGCAGTAAATTCAGTTGACAATTTCCCTTCCTTCAGATCAATTCCAGTGGAAACTGCGTTTGTAAACAAATAAGGACTTCCAAGTTGCAAAGACATTGGTACATCATTAATTTTAAACTCCTTTGGGATTTAATGCTTAAAGTCAGTTCAGTTACTTAAAGTTAGGCATGTGAGTAAGAATATCTAGCAGAGACTGCAGCTGTGGCTGGACCAGCTGGAGCTCAGCATGTGTTGCTTACCCAAAAGTTGAGATGATAACTTGGGATGGAGAGGGCACTTGTTATAAATGTGAGAAGCTTTCATCATCATCAAGGACGTTTGGGAGGTACAGAAATGTAAACAGTAAAGAGTGATTCTGTTTTCTCTGTGCAAGTGTGTCCAGGTGGACAATAGGTTGACCATAAGCCATCAGTGGGCTAGAAGGCCAATGGTATCCTGGGGTGCATTAAAAAGAATGTGGCCAACACGTCAACAGAAGTTCTCCATTACTTTGTCCTGGTGAGGCCTCATAAGGAGTACTGTGTCTACTAACAGAGTCACAATTCAATATCTCTGTTTTGCAGAAGGGTAGGTGAAGAGGAAAGACTAGGGGAGGGAGACTGACAGTGAATTGCCTCATGTTTCTGGTTTTAAAGCATGCAGAATGTCCCCCTAATACACCAGCAACTTCCTAAGTTTGGAAGATTATGATTTTTATTGAAAATCTTCTGATTTTGTTTGGGCTTTGGATTTAAGATAGCTGTCAGGAAATAGTCAAAGGAAATACAAGCTTCCTAATTTTAATTCCAGCGTCTTCCAGGCAGCCAAGTTGTCTGCACAGATATCCTGAAAGCTCTCAGACTGTTTCCTCTGCAGGAGCAGTGTTGTGAAGTTAGACCTTATGAGGAATAACGAGGGTGATATAGTAAGGACTTCTACTAGAGAAGGTTAGAATTCCCTTCCAGTTGGAAATATCTGACGATCAGCCCTTATTGCTGTGGGCCAGGATGAGTCAATAAACTTCGTATGCGTGTGAGTTTTTTGAGTCATTTGGCCTTTTACACTTTGCTTCTTTGATACCTAATATCATTAACTTCTCTTCTCTTCTTGTTTGCATTTCTACAGGTGCTGTTTGCACTAAACCAAACTCTGCTCCAGCATGAAAGTCTCCGAGCAGGCAGTTTGCAGGCCCCGTACACCACTGAAGATCTCATCAAACATTATAATTGTGGAGACCTGAATGCTGTTATATTCAATCATGACACTTCCCAGGTAAGCAGAAACGTTGTGTACGAGCCAGCTAGCTGAGAACAAATCATCTATTTTAAAAGAGATGGTATTTTCTCTTACAAAGACAGGAAGTGTTCTCTTACCAAAGTTCCTGATCTAAAATTTCTACACTAGATATAGTGACCTGTATTCATTAAAATGCTTGGCATCTGTTTCTACCAGGTAATCACATACACAGTTTCCCCCAGCACTGCATCCTACAGGTCTCATATGACAAAAAAGGGTGTAATTTAGCTGATGAATAGAGGCACAGAGAGGTTAAGAGCTCGGCATAAGGCCTGTCAGGTGCCTATAGCACAGGAGAAAGTAAAACTCCTGTCTCACAGTCATCACTTTCTACCGCATCTCCTTTTTCCTCTTCCTTTTGATGTCTCATGTTATCTTCTCCACATGTGTCTCATCTGCATAGTGAAAGTTTGGGGTTGGGGTTGGGCCCTAGGTATTGCTTCGGTTCTGAGGAAGTGACTGACTGGAAAACTTTCCTAGGAATGTGCCTTAAAAAAAAGTTAATTGTGGACATTTGTGGGACTGTTGAATGTGGTCTCCTCATTAAGGGGGAAAAAAAATCTTTGTAATATTTGAGCTTATGTTTGAAGAGGAAGTGAACCTTATGTAAATACTCTGTAAAGTAAATAACTTCTCAAACATGTCATAATTCAATAATTTTGTATGTGTCTCAGACAGCCCTTCTGTCTCTGTTTATCTTAGTTATCCAATGCTATTAAAGACTCAATGGAGCAGAAATCTGCTTTCCAGACCAGTTTGATAGTTCATGGCAAACTTGAAGATTCTCATTTGATATATAGGTTCCTCTTTCTTCTTCCCCATTAATTCTTTGGAAACTTGGTCTATGGATACCGTCTCTTACCTCATCTTTTTATTTGATAAATGTTCACAGATTCCTGTCTCAGATGCAGTGACTTTTTTTGAAGGGGACCTTTATATACTTTGCCAGCCTCAATATCTTGTATGTTTTGCCAATGAAAGTCCATTAAATCATGATAGTGGCTTACCATTAAGACACAGAAACCAAGAATAACCTCAAGAGGGGACTGAGATCAGGTGAGCAGAGATCTTTGGGGCTTCTTACCTTGCTGTTGTTATCCTGAGTTGCACAGGGCTCTGTGGGTCACTAATTTCTCAGATAAAGAATTGAGAAAGCAAGGATGGCCCCAGTCTGCAAGGTAGCCACTCTCCACAACATGGGTGTATTGTACAGGCCTTGTATGCTGCTTCTAGAAGTTCTAGGTAGAAATATTAAATACTTCCATTTCAGCTTTTCCAAGCAATCTGTCACAGAACTAACCTCAACATCAGCTTGGACAGTCGGAAGTTCTTAAACTGTAAAAAATGGTTATATCTCCTCCTCTTTTTCCATATCTGGCTATAGTTCTCAAATTGTAGGAAGAGTGGTTAATGGTAATGAATGGGATCGAATCTCTTCACTCTTGTAGTCCAATAGAGTGAAACACTGTTTTGGCATAACTAAGCAGGACATAAAAGGTGTTGTTAACAGAGCAGTACTAAAACAGATGTTTGTGTAGCAACAGAGCTGCCAGAGCTGTTCTTCCTGGGCAGTTTTGCACTGAAAAGCAAAGGGAGAAACCAACTTTGTTAAGAATATGTCTCTAAAGATGTGGTGTGTGAGCTGAAAAACGTAGAGAGCTCAAAACTTTAGAGGATCCTGGAGAAGATAACTTGCAGGTAAGCACACAAGATAAACACAAAGTGACCTTACAGAAGTAATTATCCTGAGGTGTAGTGATGTACTTGTCATGGACACAAATAAACAAATGCTAGTTGTAAAATCAAGAAGACAGTCCTGACATCTGAATGTTCTGTCATCTTTTAATGGCTATCAAACGGTGTAATTTTGCCAGCTTTCTTCTGTGCCTATGTCTCTGAGGCAGGTTACTGCTGTTCACACTGATTGCACTGACTCACAGACATCTGTGATTTGTTGACACAATGTCCTATAACAGACCTGTGTTTCAGACTTGAGATGCTGTAAAAGCTTTTTTATTCCTGCAAATTCTTGAATCAGTGTAGGTTTAAAAACAGTGTTAAAGAAGAAAGAAGCCAACAACCAATGAGAGTTCAAGCAATAGCATTAGTCATGGGCTCAGTGTGCACACAGTTGATAGAGATTATAACACTTAGAGGCCATGGAAAATTAAAATCCCTATATGTATACTAGTCCCTCCAGAACTCTAAATGGTGTGGAGTATATTCCTCTTATGGGCTGTTGCTCTTAATTCAAGTAAAGAGGTTTTTTGTTTGCTAGTGTTTTTATAAACCAGCTTTATATCATTTATTTTTAATTGCAAGCAGTACAAAATAGAAAATTAAAGCCCAAGATAGACTCTCTATTCAGTTAACGTTTGCCAGTGGTACTTCCAGAGTTTATTCTGTGTGTTTTTTGTAAGGATGGTGTCCTTGCCATGGGGAGTCTATTTGGTTATCAAATTTGATTAGCTTGGCTTAAATATTAAATGTGAAGCAGCACCCATGGGATCTTTCTCGTGAACAACTAAATCTAAGCAGAGAGATTTATCACCGACTGTGAGAGTATTATATTCCTCATCAGGTAACAAAAAATGATAATCCTACAACTGCAGGAAAATTCTGAATATCACAGAGGTGCAGAATAAAGGGCAGCCTGTCTGTTAGTTGCCTCATTTGGGAGCCATTGGTTTAAGTAACTGGAATGTGGAAATGCAGCTGGAAAATTCCAACATCACACCAGGGACATTTAAAGGGACAAAGGTATATGTGTAGAAACTTCCTTAATTCCTGTACCATGAATCTTGGGAGATGGAGTATCATCAGTAGCTGGCTGCAAGAAGCTGAGATGGCTTTGCAGCAGAACTCATCTTGGAGCAGGAAGAAGGAACAGAAATAGAAATACTAATGCTGTTGGCTTTCTGTGTTATGGATGACCTTCTTGAGCCTCTTCAACATCATTGAGGGAGCTCTTGGAAAAACTGTGATTTCCCAGCATTGATCTCGACAACTTCTGTGGCATTTGGGAGGAGAGGGCAGTCTGTGCCTGTACAGGGTGCAGAAGGGACAGTGCCAGGAGGAAAAGTGTGAGAAAAGGGCATTTCATAGAACAAATCAGGAGCTTAGGCACCAGAGCAGAGGACATCTCCAGTCCTGGAGCAATCAACACCAATGACATCCAAGCACTAAACCATTCCTTCTTGGTTTCAGTGTTGAGGTTCTTTTTATTTTTTATTCTTTTTAAATTTTAATTAAGAACAGTGAAAGCAGGAAACACCTCTGCTTTCCTTTGGTTATATAACATTCCTCATTCCTTTCTCTTTCTTTTTCTTTCTTTCTTTTTTTTTTTTTTTCTTTTACATTTTGCTTCCAAGCACCATTTTTCTGAACATATAAATCCTTATTCAAACTTAATAAAATTTTAAGAGGCTGTGTTTATTCAGTTAGACTATGACCTAAAGTGGTATACAAAGCATCTCTCCTGCTTGGACAGCCTTCTGCAAACGCATGATTCTCTTGTGACTTGTTCAGTCAAGAGTCTTAGGCTGGAGTTTCTGGGCAGAAAGTCAACAAGATGCTGAAAAGAAAATGTTCTTTAAGTTAAAGATAGAATAGGTTTATGTTGTTTTTTTCTTCAAACTTTTTCCACCACAGAAATCATACTTTCTCTGCTTTTGAAAAATGTACGCTACAAGCAAAGAGGCACTGGATTAGATCAGCAGCTCTAACTTATGTATTATCAGAAGTTCTTACAAAGGAATTAAGGTCAGTAGGTCCAGATACATTAAAATGCAAAAGACATTTTATATATATATCTATATATATCTATATATATATCTGTTAGTGCAAAATTAGAAAATGATCTACCTCCAGAGAACACTTTTTCTTACCTAAGATAGTTTTAAAAAATCCCTAATAACATGAAGCCGTGGTGAGTGAGAATTTCTCTTTTATTTGTTCCCTAAATCTGATGTTGAGGTCTTCATTTAAATAGGTTGAACTGATATATGTAGGGTTTGGGAGTATCTTGTACCCTTACTTCCTGTGATGGGTTTTCAGATGTTCAAATTTTTAAGGACAATTCTGTGCATCAGGATTCATCTTTGCCAGCATGGAATTTGCTGTTCCTTTGTTTCTTTGTATTCCTTTGTGCCCTTTCTAGAATGATGTATGACATTTTTTCATTTGTTTTTCTTTTTTCCTTTAACCCTACCCAAAAACTATACCTGTGATCTCCAGCTCTTGTTTTTCAGCCATAATTTTGACCCAAGGATTCATGATTAAATAGCTTTTGGGTAGCAGATTTTGCCTTTTGAAATACGCAGTGTGATCCTGATGACACAGCATTAGAGATCCGTACACTAACAGCATGTCAGTGGTCAGCTTCCCTACACTAATGAAGAAAAGGTTCAGCTCATCACTTCACAATACGTTTGCTGTTTATAAACAGGTTGTGTTTTATACCCCTTTAAAAATGTTATAATTCTGCGTTTAAACCTGTCCTTTCAGATTTAAGAGTTCTGATAATTCTAATTGTATCATTAATTTGCCCCATTCTCATTTTGGATAAAATATGACTGGATTTCTGGCTCACTTCTCAAATCAATGAGAACTATCTGTGGAATGCCCCAGCTTCAATATATGCAGAAACACACAGCTGAAACCATTAGGTAGAGTGTTGAATGATAAGCAGACCTAATTTGTTCAAGGAATGGAGTTTTATCTACAGCAGAGGAAGATAAATCCTTAAACTGAAGGTACAGCTATTGTAACACAACGCTTTGGAAGCACCTTATCATTTTCAGCTGTAACAAAGTGCAGACAAACTGGCACAGCCTCTCGTCCTTCCAGGGAAAGTGATTACAGGCTTTCCAGAAAAGCAAATGCAAGGTTGTCCCAGGCACAGAGTGAGCTGCTCTCGAGGGTTTCGGGGTCCCAGCAAGCCATCAGTAGCACTTCCATGCCTCTATGTTATTATT